GGGGGGGGGGGGGGGGGTAAACTAATCCCTGTTGGTAGAAGGATGGTGGGAAAAGCCCTTTGAGAGGAGTGACATGACACCTTTAATTCTGGTCATGTGTCCATCTTTCCCTGAGCGTGTTACCTCCAGAGGCCTGGTTAATGGGGGTAAGTGGGTGTGGCTAATGGGGGGTCAGGGCATGGTTAACAGGGGTCAAGGGGTGTGGCTAATGGGGCACCACCAAAAATTATACAAACCTGCCACCCCTGCTGGGCACGCTGTGGGAGGGGGCATCGGCCCCGGTGGAGGAGTGTGTCAGCTGCCTGCGCCACAGGAGGTGTGAGTTTAGCGCAGGGTTTTCCTGCCCTGCGGGAGGGTATGTGTGTGTATTGGCAGAGGATTTTTTGTGTGCTGTTTTTTGGGGAGGGTGTTGCTCAACTAAAATTGCTGCGGGGCCCCGTCGAAATTGTTCGAATTGGGCCCCGCACTTCCTAAAGCTGGTGCTGCACCCTGGGATTCGGCTCGCTCCATGACTCTGTGCCTTCACTGCCCACATCGCAATTGTTCTAGCTGGTTACCCTCCTCGACGCACCAAATGTTTTATTTCAGAGGCTGAGCCAGCCAAACTCTGCTCTAAGGTTCGGTGGGTAACCAAGAAGACACAAATCTCTAAATGTGAATCAATGCAAGGTTTATTAGATATTACAGAAAGAAAAGCAAGAGAAGGCTTATAATATCCAAATAGACAAGTAGCACCTTAAAGATTAACAAAACATGTAGACGGTATCATGAGCTTTCATGGGCACAACTTACTTCTTCGAATGACACATTATTATTATTATCATTTATTACTTATTTATTACTATTTACCAGTATGTCTGTCCTGTTGTAAGCGCTCAGGCGCTGGCTTTAGAATCAGTGCTTGAACAGCCAGGCCCTTCCTTCCTATTGTAATACAAATTAGTAGGAGTAGCAGTACAATAATAAAAGTAAGAAGTCATCACCTGAGCTCTAGTTCTGGTTATAATACAAAATAAACATGAATTAATGCACATGCTCTAATTTTTCCAGCTTGCTGAGAAATATGGCAACATTTTCAGCACGCAGATGGGTAGCATGACATTTGTGATTGTAAATGGATTCCAGCTGGTGAAGGAAGTGCTTGTCCATCAGGGCGATGACTTTCTTGATCGACCACAATTTCCTGTTATCCATGAATTCTTCAAGACATTTGGTGAGTTTTCTTCCAGTATTTCTCACGTACCGTTTCTAAAAATGAAGGCCCTGATTCTGCAAATGGGTTACACTTTATGTGTATGAACTGAAGTCTGTGCTACGGTAATATCTTAGGACCAGATCCTCAAAGGTGTTTAGGTGTCTATCACAGGGTTGATATGCCAGTCACTGTTTTGGGGTTGGGGTCAGGCTTCGTTATAGCCTGTGCTTGCCTCTCTAGGTTTGCCCCCAGTCTCGGGGCTGCATGGCCCTGTTGCCTAAGTCAGTGATACGATGCCTGCAATAAGGGCAGCCAGAGTCAATCATATGGACCCCTGCCATCAGGACAGTGCAGCATACAGACCAGAGTCAATAGTGTTAGTAAGCAAGGCCACAAGTTTTGAGGTGACAGGGTGGGAATCATGCCTGCCCACTCCACCAGATTCTGAACCCAAGGCAGGTTTCCTACCAAACCTCACTGAGCTTGTCTCTAGTTCTTCATCACCAAGTTTCCCTGGTTACCTTCTACCCGACTCTTTGCAGTTCACTATTTCTGGGTCTCCACAGTAACACCCTTCTCTGTGGCATCTCAAGTCTGTGTATAGGGGTCCATCTCCGGCTGTCTAGGCTCCACATCCTGCACTGAGGTCAGTTCTCCCACAGGAGTCAAGAGGACACCTCCTTCCTCATCAGCCCAGACTGAGCTGTTCTTCTGCCTTTTATATCCTCTCTCCAGCTGGAGAATGCCCAGTGGAGCTGAGGGGGTGTGGCCTCCTCAGCCAAGAGAGAAAGGTTAACCCCTGATATACCAGTGCAGGGTTTATACACCCTATCCCAGTGCCTGACTACTAGAGGAATCAATTGGAGTTGGACACCTAAATACCTTTGGGTATGTCTACACTACAAAGTTAGTTCGATTTTGCAAATATTTACACATGTTCTCATGTCTCTGTAGTGGGGCACTATTTGAAAACATGGGAAGCCTTGTGGGAGGGATGACTGGATCCATGTTCAACTGGTCACTGGGGACAAATAATGACTAAAGGGTGAGAGGTGCTGGTCACAATGTCAAAACAAGGGAACCAGATGGGAACACTGAGCAAAGAACCTTGGACAGCACCCCCTGCTCCTCAAAGTTGTCGATGGAGCCAGTGAACTCTGCCCGGTTGCGTGAAATCAAGGAGGAACAAAAGTAGGCCCCACAGTCGCAGAGCATCCTCTCGTCCAGCATCCTCCTCCTGGTGGTGTAGATGGCGGCTTTTGCCAGGGCCAGAGAAGGTTGACAAGGAGGTCCCGCGACTTTGAGGGATGGGATGTGCATAAATAAAAATATGAAGAGGAGTGGGGAGAAGTGCAGCCAGAACCTCAGTAAGAGTTTCTGGAGGAGCCGGAACAGGTTCTGCAACCTGGCACATTCCAGATACACATGCCACAAAAGGGGCAGGTATCTGGGTTAGGGGTGAATCACATCAAGTATACGCCCATGCTCACAGCTCTTTGAAGGAGCCTCCAACTGATGTCCCTGATGGGCTGCGGTTAGGGTGGAATATACGCTGGTGCATCGAGGTTCCCCACCCTCCACAGGTCTTAAATAGTTCCGCCATTTGATGTCAGGGAGGGACACGGTGTCAGGGTGAGGAAATGCAGAGTGTGGAGCACAAGCGTCTATAGATTGTTCTCTTGGCACGGCTCAGAAGCAGACCAGCTACAAATCTTGCAGCCGTGTTGGGGTCCAGGGATGGGGTGGCCAGGGGGGCCCGCAGAACAGGGGCCCGATAACGATAGATGGATGGTTTGCAGGAAGGGAGGGGCGGGGCGTACCTTCTCGCAGGGCTCGCTGCAGGAAGTCAAGAGCAGGCCACGACAAAATCGCCTTCACCTCCTGGAGTAGCCACAGGGCGAGT